TCTTATGAGCGTATTAGGGTTTAGGGTTTAGGGTTTAGGGTTTAGGGTTTAGGGTTTAGGGTTTAAGGTTTAGGGTTTAGGGTTTAGGGTTTAGGGTTTAGGGTTTAGGGGTTTTAGGGTTTAGGGCCTTTGGGGTTTAGGGTTTTAGGCGCAGGGTTGCCCAAGGCTCCCTGGTCCAGACGCAGCGCCCTATGCCAAATATCGACATCCGAGGTTTTTTTTATGCGGTTGCTTGACACTCCCTAAACCTTGCAACCTAAACCTTAAACTCTAAACCTTAAACGCTTAACCCTAAACCTTAAACCCTAAACCTTAAACGCTTAACCCTAAACCTTAGCCCCTGAACCTTAAACCCTTAACCCTAAACCTTAAACCCTAAACATTAAACCCTTAACCCTAAACCTTAGCCCCTGAACCCTAAGCCTTGAAACCTGGGTCTCCCTAAAGCCCTAAACCCTAAAGCCCAAACCCTAAAACCTAAAAGCCCTAAACCCTAAACCCTAAACCCTAAACCCGATACCCTAAACCCTAAACCCTAAACCCTAAACCCTAAACCCTAAACCTGATCGACTAAGCCTAAAACCCCCAAGCCCCTAAACATATATAGCTCCTTAGGCTAAGGAAGATCTCAGACCCAAAAGCCCGGCGAGTCATATAGAAGCCTACAGCATTGCCTATATTATTCCTTAGGGTTCCTTATGGTAAGTATAGTATAATGGGCCCCCAAACCCCATTCTAATTATTAAGGTCTCTATAGTATGCAAAGTTTCAGGCCAGCGACGCAAGCAGAGCAGTGCCTCCGCTTCATGCACATCCCCAAGCTTCTCGGATGCAGCCGGGGAAGCCCAGAGCCGTTTAGGGCTTTGGCTTTTTTAGGGCTTTAGGGGTTTAGGGTTTCAAGGTTTAGGGTTTAGGAATTTTAGGGTTTAGGGTTTCAGGGTTTAGGGTTTAGGGTTTTAGGGTTTAGGCTTCTCCTCGTAATCATCACTATCATCATCACTTGTATCACCTCAACCCTCATCTGCAGCGACAGCAACACAGTCGACATGACCAGCATCATGAAATCATCAGCATCATCCACATCTTCATCACCGCCACCAACATGACCAGCATCATCATCAGCATCACCATCACCAAGTGCATCAAGATTATCGTCCCCGATCCCGCGGATCGATCCAGGGGAAGGTGTGCAAACTGCCTGCCGCAAGCGGTCATGCTGATTGCATCTACAGCGATGTGTGTGTGTATATATATATATATATGTGTGTGTATATATATTTATAGAGAGAGAGAGACAGAAGCATACACTTGCGTGCATATCTGCATGCATCCGTACTTGATAAACAAACATATGTGTCCTTATATTCGTTATCCATACATATATATATATATACATACATACATATGCATATACATTAGGTAGATAGATAGATCGATGGATGGACAGATGGATGGATAGATGGATATGGATGGATGCATAGATGGATAGATGGATAGATGAATGGATAGATAGATAGATAGATAGATAGGTAGACAGATTTCCTGACTGGTAGATTGACAGATTGTCAGATTGACAGATAGATAGGTAGATAGATAGATAGATAGATAGATAGATAGGTTGATAGATAGATAGATGGATGGGCCTACATACATATACATCTAGAGATCCATACATATATATATATATACATACGTACAAATGCAAAAAACCGAGGACGGGAGGAACCAGCATCGACTCGGCCGCACAGCAGCGACTTCATGGTTAATAGAAGTCTCAGCCCTGAAGCCAGAGGCCAACCCTGGCAGCTCCCTCGGAATCTCCCAGATATTGACCCCTAAACCCTAAACCCTAAACCCGAACAAAGGGGCGAATCCTTGGGGTTCATTAGTATTAGTTTAGTTTTATCTACCCCAAAACCCTGTTCTAATTGTGAAGGCCCCTACAGTACTCGAAAGGTCCGGCCCCTCGGACCATACTCCACTTGGGCAAAAAAAGCCGCTTTTTGTTGCAAGATACCTAAGCCCTTAACCCCTAAACCCTAAACCCTAAACCCTAAACCCTAAACCCTAAACCCTAAACCCTACCTGTATGTGAGGCTTTCTTCGGTTTGCGGTACCAGGTCTGAGGTTTCATGCTCAACCCCCGAAACTTCAAGCTCGTATGCCTTAACCCAGGGGTTTAGGGTTTAGGGTTTAGGGTTTATGGTTTAGGGCAAAGGGTCCTAGGTACTGTTATAGGCTTGGGGGATACTTTACCAAATCAAAGTAACTCTTCCTAATATAGAAACCCTATATTCGACTATATAGGTACATTGGGCCCTTTGGGTAATTACCCTCGATGTAGCTCGACCTTCTGCAAAACGCACTTGACGCCTGCGTAGTCTGCTTTAGCCCGTGTACTATGTCCATATTACACCGGCACCATACCTGTAAAGTCGCGGCCTTCACGAGGTTTGGGGGTGGCTTTAGGACCATAAGGTTTTGCGGGTGGCTGTAGGACAATAAGGTTCTGGGGGTGGCTTTAGGACTATCCGTGTCGTCTTAGGCAACAAGCAGAAACAAGGGTATACAGACGCACGAGGGCGGGCAGGTAGACATATTGGCAAGTTGTAGCCGGAGGAGCAGGAGTAGTAGTGGCCTTGGTGGTGGTAGTCGTCATCCTAAACCCTAAACCCTAAACCCTAAACCCTAAACCTCAACCCTAAGCCCGAAACCCTAATACTTCCCGAAGGCCAACATGCACCTTCCAGCGGGGCAGCGGGCGTTCGACTCCCTGATGCTGGAAACCTTCATGCGCGTTCAAGCGCACATGGGCGGCGTAGAGGCCGATAGCTGCAATTCTGGGATCCGTTGGGGCCCAGTTTTGGGGTAGAGATGATTTTTTCTGCGGTATATGGTTTTCCAGCGTTGGGGATTTCGAACATAGAGGTTCGTAACGGGCTTCAGAGGTTTACATATAGGGAGTCGGGGTGTGTAGTTGAGGTTGAAGGTGGGGATATCTGGGTTCCCGACTTTGCTGTTTTTCGTAGAGGGCTGAAAGTTCAGGTGAAGTGCTTTCACTGCATATAACCTTAAGGGATCGTACCCTGCAAAGAGCTTCAACCCTAAACTTCTGAAACTTAAAACCCTGAGCTGTATTGACTCAGGGGGCCCCTTGTACGGTGCAGGCAGCGTACGTTAAGTTCCCTCTTTGCTACATTAGGTAGACTTATTGGCTGTAAACTCAACNNTCTTATAAGGTAGTCGATTCTGAAAGTTTCAACTTTTATCTCCTTGGGTTTTGGGCCAGTCAGTAGAAGCACCTTCGTCGCAAGGACCTTGGGCAGCTGTACGACGATGTGCATCACGGGTTTCTTTCGCTCCTTGGCCCAGCGTGTCAGAGTGCAGAAGCTTGATAGTTGGAGAAATCTGAGAAATCCGCCGGTTTAGGTTTCAGGGTTCATTGTGGGGGAACTCTAGATGGTGGTTTAGATCTGGGGAAGATCTAGGCTTCAAATGTAAGGAGGTGTTGGGCTAGAGGCTTGCGGGCTTTGGGCGGGACAAGCCCCGCCCTCCACAGAACACTTCACCGACAGCTGCCCTCCGAGCTCGTTGGGTTTAGGGTTTAGGGTTTGCAGCCGGATTTGAAGGGCGAACCAACACAGTGTTTTCTGTGCCCTACCCTTGGAGAATTCTCAGAGGCGATCTGTTGCGAAGTGAACGACCACACGGTGCCAGTTAACGGTTAGATGCTGTTGTCTGAGGAAAAACTGGCACCAGCTATCCTTCCGCGAGAATCAGTAGGGTGACGGGCTGCGCCAAGTTGGGGTTACCCTTACAGGGTTGTTATCTCTAGTATAGGTGTCCAAGGCTGTTTCACGACTCCTCGGGTGAACCCTAAACCCTAAACTCTATGTAAACCCTAAACCCTAAACTCTAAACCCTAAACCCGAAACTCTTCGGGTGTTGTTTTGGCGCTTCTTCGCAGGGTTTCGGAGCTGGGGGTTCGGGAGCTGAGAGCTCTTACGGCTCCCCCTCCAAGTCTTCGAGAACCCTTGGAACCGTGTAGTATCCTATACTACCCTTTTAAAGGGTACTCTATGTTTGTTCCCCTTTTCCTATCCTTTTAAAGGGTACCCTAGACTACCCTTTTAAAGGGGACCCCATTGTAGTACCCTCTACTACCCTTTAAAAGAAGACCCTATTTTTGCACTTGACTTTTTCCATCATTTTAAAGGGGATTATATTCTTGTACCCTATACTACCCTTGTACAGGGGACCCTGTTGTAGTGCCCTACGCTACCCTTTTAAAGGACCCTGTTATCGTACCCTATACTACCCTTTTAAAGGGGGACCCTACAATAGTACCCTATACTACCCTTTTAAAGGGGGACCCTATAATAGTACCCTGTACTACCCTTAAAGGGGCCTCTATAGTAGTACCCTGTACTACCCTTAAAGGGGCCCCTATAATAGTACCCTGTACCACCCTTAAAGGGGGACCCTATAATAGTACCCTGTACTACCCTTAAAGGGGGACCCTACAATGGTACCCTATACTATACCCTTAAAGGGGCCCCTATAATAGTACCCTATACTACCCTTAAAGGGGCCCCTATAATAGTACCCTTAAAGGGGCCCCTATAATGGTACCCTGTACTACCCTTAAAGGGGCCCCTAGTAGGTATGGCATCTTCATGGCCGAGCACATGTCGGATTACCGCTGGCTGCCAGAAGATGCAGACGATAAGTGCGAGGCGCCGCTCGTGACTATCCGCATACGGTTTAGGGTTTAGGGTTTAGGGTTTAGGGCGGATTCCCTCAACTTCCGAATTCGGTAAACCGTAAACAGCTAGCGACGGCTGCAGCAACGTGGCACAGAGGCACACACCAAGGCCAACAGGAGCCACGAGCGAATTGGACACGGGTCAAGCACTTTTCAAAGGTTCGACCCAACTGGTAAACACTGTCCATCGTTCCCTACAGCCTAAGAATAAATTTGACGTGATTTGTTTTCAGTATTGTCTATTGTACAACTGTATACCCATAGGCCCTAAAGTAGTTTCTTTTTGGTGTTACCTTATAGGATTCTATATATGAACCCCAAAAAGGAACTACTCTACGACCAGCTGCCCCTCTTTGTCTTTGTTTGGTTTTCCTCTCCTATGTGTGCTAAGTTCATCGCCTGCATCTAGATCAGGATACTTATGCGATTCGTGGTAGCCTTCACTGGTATATTATGGTTGAGCTTTCGGGTGTCTTTGGGTGTTAGGCCAGTTGCCGAGCTTTTGGACACATTGTCAGTCTAAGATTTCGAAGGGCGTAATGTGGCCATTGGATGTTATGTTATCCTTTACTGCCATGTGCCGCAACCCGCTTGTAAAGCAATCTTGAACCACGGGATTCCCTTTTCGCGAAAATTGGGTGTCTAATAGTTCTGTGATGCTCTATGTTATGTTTTCATCCCCCAAATACGTTGCATTACCTCTTTAGTCATTGCTACCGAGTCGTCTGTATACATGAGTTGGGGTTTCTTTCCCATTGATGCAGGCATTGCGGCCCCTCGCTAGATCTTCTGTTGACAGTACCGGCAGACGCTGGTCGACTACATCAGCCATCAGGATGTAGTAGTGTCGCTGATTATGAAACAAACCCTAAACCCTAAACCCTAAACCCTAAACCCTAAACCCTAAACCCTACTAAGCCCTAAACCCTAAAAAGCTGCTTCGACCTACCGGTCTTCCGTGTGTTCAACAGACTTTCTGTTGGTAAGTACTGGGCAGGGTTTAGGGTTTAGGGTTTAGGGTTTAGGGTTTAGGGTTTAGGGTCCCTTTCATCCGGAAGTCAAGAGCAACAGCCCAATGCCTAACGCCCCCCTCTCCCCCCCCCCGGCAGCTCAAGTCCGCGGGAGCCCCAAAAATCCAAGACTCCCACAGAGCCTAGCCCCAAGCAAGAAACGCTGAAAGCTCTAGTTATGAAGCATTAGTTTGTCAGGCCTCCAACTCCGAACCCTATAGTACCTTAAGCCGGCCCAAGTTTTCTGCACAGGATTTGCACACACCGCCCTCCCGCAGTGCGCCGGCGGCATGCCTCCCCCCGACCAGATGCTTCAGGATTCACGGTTTCGGGTTTTGGAGGGCATTGGTCCTCCAGAGTTCGGGGCGCAATATGGGTAGTTTTCTAAATTAGGGTCCCTTGTTGGGTCCCCAATATGGTACGGCACCCTTATAAAAGGGACTCCCAAAAGGGAGCCTAATTTAGAGAACTACCCATATGAAAGCGGAAGTAATTACCAGTATGATTCCTTGTGGCTCCTTTCTGTATATTTAAATTAGAAAGGGGCCCAACACCCAATTCCTCGTGGTTCCTGTTGTGTATACTACAAAGGAGCCCAGCACCCTATTTTATGATTAGTAAGGCCCCGTTGGGTTCTTTGTTGCATACTTAGATTATAGGAGTTTGGGGGTTTTGGGATTTTGGGGTTGAGGGGTTTGGGGTTTAGGCTTTTGGGGTTTAGGGTTTCGGGTTTTAGGGCTTTGGGTTTAGAGTTTTGGGGGTTTAGGGTTTAGGGCTTTTTTCCGGCTGGCGGTTGTTTTTCTCGTGTTTCGCTGGAGGGGATTCAGGATACTATCCTGTGGGTTTGGAGCAGAAGACCTCGCAAGGGGCCTCTCCTGACATAATATCGCTATATTCAGGAAGCCATCTTATCTACGCAAAACCCCGAATCATGGCAGGGACTAGGTTACTCATCGAGAGCCTACACCGGACATGTTCGAAAAACCCGAAACCCTAAACCCAAGACCCTAAACCCTAAACCCGAAACCCTAAACCCTAAACCCGAAACCCGAAGCCCTGAACCCTAAAGGCTGTGGGGATTTTGACATATCCGGGATTATGTGAAAGACTGAGCCTTCTCTGCCCATCAGGTTCCCAGACCTTTCCAAGATCCCTTCATGAAGGATATGGGAGTTTCCGAAGATAATGGGTACCGCATTTTGGGGTCCTTATAGTAGGGATCCTACTAATCAGGGTACTAAATTAGGGTCCCGTATTTTCGGAGACCCCCATATACATAAAATGAGAACAGGATCCCTACCAGGTTTTTTGCTTACAAGCACTCTTCCAATATACATGAAATTAGAGTAGGATCCCTACCAGGAACTTTAAAGACCCTCTTCTAATGTACATGAAATTAGACTTCGATCCCTACTAGGCTTCAGGTGCGTTCCTTATCATCTAAACCCCAAAACCTAAACCCTAAACCCTCAACCCTCAACCCTAAACCCTAAACCCTCAACCCTAAACCCTAAACCCTAAACCCTAAACCCTAAACCCTAAACCCTCAACCTTAAGATCCCTAACCCTGAACCCTACACCCTCAACCCTAAGATCCCTAGAATGAGGTCCCTAAAGCCATAATAAGTATGGTCTTTTGGGACCTAACTCCACAATGGTGGTCTATATGGAGCCTCTGCGTAGTTAGGCTAGTCATTCAGGATTCTCTCGGATATTGAGACTCACATGGAGCAAGTAGTTGAACACTTCCTACAAAAAGATGAAGCCCTCAGCTCCTGAACCCTGGTTCCTGACCTGATCCCAAACCCGAAACCCGGACTCTTAGCTTTAGATCCCACGCCCTGAAGCTTTAGTCGACAGTGTCATCCAAGGTTCGGACATTGCGCTGTACTACCAGGACTTGACGACAGAGAGTTCATGAGTTGGGGTTGAGGATGTAGGCCCAAGGTCGAGGATATGAAACCCTAAACCCTAAACCTTAAACCGAACTCAAAAGAATTTGCCACGAAAATTGTGCCGCGCAGTAATCGCACAGCCGGGTCGTGTGTTTGAGAATTCTTCGGCTGCAAGGTCTGGATATGGATCTGGAGTCAACGGCCTCGCGTGCCGCCTGTGCATACACATCTATAGCTATATATATATATATGGTACTATATATATATATGCACACCCACACACATTTGTATACAAATGTGCCGATTCCTTGAACCGTGAAGCATAACACACCGCAATCTCCACTTGTCACCGACTGAAGGCAGCAGTAAACACCAAGCGCAGTTCGGCGCTTTGTAGCTGTGGCAATAGAAATTAGGCGTAGTAGCAGAAGTAGTAGAAGTAGTAAAAGCAGTAGCAGGAGTAGCAGGAGTAG